TTGCATCTGAAATATAAAATCGAAAATGGAAAAAGCTTTTAGTATATGCATAAAAAATATATATACACATACATATGTATAGCTCAATCTGGCTTACAAAACTACTCATAAAACAAAATTATGGAGGAGGTGGAGTAATATGGAGATAGATGGATAAAGAGAGAATATAGAGAGAGAGAAAGAAAGAGAGGGAGGAAGAGAGAAATAGAGCGATGTGATAATGGAGAGTGAAAGATAGACAGCGAGAGTACAAGAAAGCGAGTGAAAGAACAAGCAAGACAGGAGAGAGAGAGAGAGAGAGAGAGAGAGAGAAAGCGTAACGGATAGAGATTCAAAACAACAGCTATCTGAGATATCGAGAAAGACACTTGGAGAGAGTAACCCTGAGGCTCGACGACTACAAGCGACAAAGGGGGAGTGAGAGTGAGAAAGAAAGCGAAGGAGATCGAAAGAGAGAGAAAATGAGATAGAACTAAAATGAGAGAGAATTGGAATGAAAGAGAGAGAGAGAGAAAGAAAGAGATAGTAAGGTATAGAGAGATTGAGAGTGTGGGTAAAAAAAGGAGGAGATTCAGAGTGCAAGTTCAGAGGGTAGAGTATTGGTGATACCCACAGAAAAGGAGAGAGGGAGAGAGATTCAGAAAGAAAGTTAAGTAGGTAGAGCATTTATGAGACTTACAGAGAGAGAAGAACAATGTTCGAGGCAATATATTATATAGGATATATGTAGATGCAAAGTTTTTTAAGAACTATAAGAGCTATTCGCATATAAGTATTGCATATTCCCCAACTTCAAGCTATGTTCCGTAATTCTCGCAAATACAAAGAGAGTATTTAAGCTTCGCTGGCTGACCCACCCTCACAGCTTGCTCAAACTTGTTACATCCTAATCTAGAAGCAAACGGCTTTAAAGTCGAGTGCTAGCTGGCATTGAATGTAATCAGATGAAATGTAAAGGCACTCGACTTTTCGTGCGCCTCTACCGAGGAGAACTCTTTATGATAAACAATGCGAAATGTATCCATCCCATCGATGGAGTACGGCCGAGGGCCGGGCGCAGCCAAGCAAGTTAACTCGCTCGATAATCGAAAAGAAATGTATGCTAAGTAAATTACGAGATGCCCAATTGCTCAATTGCTTGACACAGTGGGACGCGGAAGACAGACGGACGTAGAGACGAACAGTCGGACGGCCTCGGAAAGAGGATTTGAGGACAAAGTTTAGCATTCGCTCGACTCGAGTCACCTTCAAATGGCCATCATGTGAATGGCTTGGGCCCGGCCGGATTGAGTACGCCAACCCAATCCGGCAACGGCAATGGGCAACAACGATTCGGCATTTGTCTTACGAAGTGGCAACAGGGCCAGAGATTCGACACAGTCTGCGGCTTATGGACGCCCTAATTTGCACATTTTAAATGGTCTCGAGTCTTTTTATGAAACTTAAACGGCCCACGCCTCCATGCCGCCGCCTCCGCCCACACCCAGCCCCATGGCCGGGCTGTCTGTCCTGAGAAAGGTCGTAAGTGGGCGACGGGATTAGCACGGCGAAAAGATTTACGCGCCGTCGCCCTTTTTTATGGCCACGAGTGTTGGCTATTCGCGCGAAATTGAAAAGTTTTGAAACCTTTTTGTCCAGGCAGCCAGGCAGCCATCCATTCCATCCCATCCTATCCCATCCCATCCCATGCCATCCATCTATTCACTCACTCACTCAGAAAACTGTTTTGTGTCTTACAGCAGGGGCAGCAGGGAGCCGCGGCGACGGCTGCCACAAATGTGGCGGCAACAGCGCAGAGCTGCATTAGCCAGGGCTTTGGCCAGGCCAAGAACTATGGCACGCTGAGTCCTTCGGACGATGGCCAACTGCCCGAGACGCTCACCTATGCCTGGCACAATGTGGACATATTCGGTGCAGTGCATCAGCCCGGCTCCAACTGGCGCCAGCTGGTGAATCGGACGCGCGGCCTCTTCTGCAACGAACGCCATATTCCGGCACCGCGAAAGCATCTGCTTAAAAATGGTAAGCCCCAAGAATCCCAAGAACCTTCTCCAGCTCCATTTATTCACTTGCTGTACTCCCGCAGTCTGTGGCGTTGCCTATCCGGGCGAACTGCTGGCCGTGATGGGCAGCTCAGGAGCCGGCAAGACGACGCTGCTGAACGCGCTGGCCTTTCGCTCGCCCCATGGCGTCCAGGTGTCGCCGTCGAGCATGCGGCTGCTGAATGGCCAGCCCGTGGATGCCAAAGAGATGCAGGCGCGCTGCGCCTATGTGCAGCAGGACGATCTGTTCATTGGCTCGCTGACCGCCCGGGAGCATCTGATCTTCCAGGCGATGGTGCGCATGCCCCGCCAGCTGACCTATAAGCAGCGAGTGGCCCGCGTTGATCAGGTCATCCAGGAGCTCTCGCTCAGCAAGTGCCAGCATACGATCATTGGAGTGCCGGGCAGGGTGAAGGGTCTGTCGGGTGGCGAGCGCAAGCGGCTGGCCTTTGCCTCCGAGGCCCTGACAGATCCACCGCTGCTCATCTGCGACGAGCCCACGTCGGGCCTGGACTCCTTTACCGCCCACAGCGTCGTCCAGGTGCTGAAGAAGCTATCGCAAAAGGGCAAGACCGTCATACTGACCATACATCAGCCATCGTCGGAGCTCTTCGAGCTGTTCGACAAGATACTCCTCATTGCCGAGGGACGTGTCGCATTCCTTGGCACGCCCAGCGAGGCCGTTGACTTCTTCTCGTAGTAAGTAGTCCGAAACGGACTTTAGTCGAGCTCTATTCAAATCTTTATGGTCTGCCCCAACTCAACTCCAACTACCTCGCAGCGTTGGCGCCCAGTGTCCGACCAACTATAATCCGGCGGACTTCTATGTGCAGGTGCTGGCCATTGTGCCGGGCCGTGAGGTGGAGTCGCGTGAGCGCATTGCCAAGATCTGCGATAATTTCGCCATTAGCAAGGTGGCACGCGACATGGAGCAGCTGCTGGCCACCAAGGCGCTGACACAGCCGCTGGAACAGCCCGAGAATGGGTATACGTACAAGGCCACGTGGTTCATGCAGTTCCGTGCCGTACTCTGGCGCTCCTGGCTCTCGGTCTTGAAGGAGCCGCTGCTGGTCAAAGTGCGGCTCATACAGACCACGGTAAGTCCGTTGATTGATCTATGAAGTCCGATGCTCGATGTCGGAAGTCCGATGTCCGTTGTCCGTTGCCTTATATCCAAAGTCGGATGTCCGATATTCCTTGACTGAAGTCCGTCTGACGTCCGATGTCGGTAGTCCGAGGTCCGCGGACTGATATCCAAGGTCGGATGTCCGATTACCTATGACTGAAGTCCGACGCCCAAAGTCGGAAATCCGATGTCCGAGGACTGATGTCTAAGGTCGGATGTTCGATATCGTATGACCGATGTCGGAAGTCCTATGTGCAATATCTAAGGTGGGATGTCCAATATTCTATGACTGAAGTCCGATGTCCGATGTCCGATGACAGATATCCAATATCGGATATCCGATACCTGATTTCCGATATCGCTTATCCAATGAGTGATCCTCAACGGAAATGTTGCATATCCGCTGTTCAATGACTACCTTCAACTTTGCTTATAATTTTGTTATTTAATCATACTTCCAGATGGTAGCTGTACTGATTGGCCTCATTTTTCTGGGCCAGCAGCTGACGCAGGTGGGCGTGATGAACATCAATGGAGCCATATTCCTCTTTCTGACCAACATGACCTTCCAGAATGTCTTTGCCACGATCAATGTAAGCAAAACACCCCCCAACCACGCTCACTCCCCACTCTAATCTATGGCTTGCTTTTCCCGTTGCCCAGGTGTTTACGTCGGAGCTGCCGGTGTTTATGCGGGAGGCGCGCAGTCGCCTCTACCGCTGCGACACCTACTTTCTGGGCAAGACCATAGCGGAGCTGCCGCTCTTTCTGACCGTGCCGCTGGTCTTCACGGCGATTGCGTATCCGATGATTGGGTTGCGGGCGGGCGTGCTGCACTTCTTCAACTGCCTGGCACTGGTCACACTGGTGGCCAATGTGTCCACCTCGTTTGGCTATTTGATATCCTGTGCCAGCTCCTCCACGTCGATGGCACTGTCGGTGGGTCCGCCAGTCATCATACCGTTCCTGCTCTTCGGCGGCTTCTTCCTCAACTCGGGCTCGGTGCCTATTTATCTGAAATGGCTGTCGTATCTGTCCTGGTTCCGGTACGCCAACGAGGGCCTGCTGATCAATCAGTGGGCCGACGTAGAGCCCGGCGAAATCAGTTGCACCTCCTCGAACACCACGTGCCCCAGCTCCGGCAAGGTCATCCTGGAGACGCTGAACTTCTCCGCCGCGGATCTGCCACTCGACTATGTGGGCCTCGCTCTGCTCATTGTGGGCTTCCGTGGTTTTGCCTACCTGGCGCTGCGACTACGTGCCAGGCGCAAGGAGTAGGCCCAAAACATAATACATATATTTTATATTCATACATACTTATATATATACATATATATATATATATATATTTATATGTAAATTTTTTTATTATACTTTTTTTTTCTGACGCCCACAAAATTTGAATGTATATGTATATTAACTGTTAACAGGCGTCGCATTTTACATTAAATCTACCGTATGTACACATGAACCCAAAATTTTTTTATTTATAAACCAAACACGGCCGACACACATGCATACTGGTAAGTGCTGAAGATTTTGAATTGCGCGCGCAATGCCAACCTACCACCGCTAATGCACTCACCACGGCGACAAGCGAAACTCACCACGGGCCAACCACGCGAGCACAGCGCCGCAAGGTGTGTGTGCGCGAGCGCGAGACAGCAAGCAATAAGCAGGCAAATGAGCGAGACAACCAGCTGGACAACCAACAGACGGCGCAACAAGCGAGCGCTGGCTGACGCCACTCGCTCGCTCTCATTGTTTTGTTGCTGGCACAGCAGCGCGCATTACATTGTTTGGTGAGTGAGCGAGCGAGTGACGGGCTGACTGACTGAGTGACTGAATGACTGAATGACTGGCTGGCTGCCTTGCTGGCTGCTGTTGCTGCTTAGCGTCATTTGTTGTGTCAGTGGTTAGCTTGCAGCTCGCTCCAATCGGAATCAGTGTCTTGACTAGTTCAAATTAACTGTCGCGCACACACACAAACACACACCCATAATAAATACACCGCCCGCCGTTTGCTGCCTAAGATCAGGCTGCCGTCGCTGCCGCTGCCGTCGTTGCCGTCGCCGTCGCCGCCGCCGCCAATTGGATCGTCGTCGCTGTCGCGTCGCCCCGTTCAGTGGTCGATGTTTGGGGTTCAGTTCAGTTCAGTTCAGTTTTAGTTACCGCACGGCAAAAGCGTCGCTGCTCCGCACAAATTTATTTTTAAAACAAACCAAACAAACGCAGCCCCAAACATAGTGGCGCTGGCGTCGTTACCATTGATTCAGTTCCTCCAGGTGCTAAACCAAGTGTTATTTGTGACTACAATTTAATTCCAATTGGATGTGGCTGCGGTGCAGAACGTGAAAGCGAATTGCTTGCGTTGCGGCCAATTGATTTTTCACCAAAATCTACTTGAGAGCCGACGCTGTCCCGCCCCACACCGCCTTTCGCATAAAAGGGCAGCCGGCAAACGGCTGACCTCCCGCCTCCCGTCACGCTCTCTCTCTCACCCGCTCTCTCTTTGTCTTTCTCTCTCTCTCTCTCTATATATATCTCTCGCACCTCACCACAGGCAGCATAGACCCTAACCTCAAATCAGCTGTTGCATACAATTGACATCGTGCGAAGCGCGTCCAGCGAAGACAATAATAACAACAAGAACAACGGCAGCAAAAGCAACACACAAAATGGACATCCAAACACTCTGCAATGAATGGGATGAGCTCAATCGTGAATATGCCGAGCTTGAGGTGAGTTGCTGTTGTTGTTGTAAATGATGTAGAAGTAAATATAAATATGGATGTATGAATATATACATATATGTACATATATAGATGTGTTTGTTGTTGTTGTTCTTACTATTATTTTGAATCAGCTGCTCAATATTAACACAGTCTCACACACACTCTCTCTCTCTCTTTCTCTCTCTCTCCCTCTGTGCAGGAGTGCAACAGACGCAACATTGAGCTGCTGGAGCAGCTGCATCAGCATCAACAGAAATGCTTTAACGAGATCAAGCATCAGCGATATCGTATGAATCAAATATCAGCCTCAATGCGACAGTGAGTAGAATAGCTAGCATATAACTGTACTATTTACATACACACACGCAGTCAAACACGCACGCACGCTTATGGTGTCAAAGCCAACCCTTATATAATTACATACAAAACTTTTAACTGTACTTAGCTAGCATTCGTATGCAACAGGCTTCAGCTAGCGATGGCCGCGTGACACGACACATTTGGACATGCCATTTATTACGGCCATAACTGTAAATGTCATAATAACTGCATCTTATCGCTGCCGTAAGAAAACAAATTCACAAAGTTAACAAAGTGTTAAAGTGCCGTTAAGTGGACTCAGTCAGCTGCCTGCTCAACTCCATGTCGAATGCTTAACTCGTGAATCTAATGCGCTGCTTAATAACCATCTCCAATAGTATAAACAACCCCGATCTCACGCTCTCTGTCTCTCTCACACGCACGCAAACTCTTTGAAGTTGTTGCCGAATTGGAATTTGATCTCGAATCAATTACCGTTGCGAACGAGGCTATTCTAATCAGATTCGCAACTGTGAAACAGCTAGCCCAACCGTTTTCTTATCAGCAGCCGCAGCAAGTTGTGAAACACATGTATGTCGGCAATTAGTCAGTGAATTTCGTTCTTATCGCAACTGCCACGCCTCCACCTCCACCAGCTCACCACCCCCCCTACCCAGAGACTAGAAACAGCTGTGTCGGCATTTAAAGTGCGTATTTCTTCCACTTAGTTTGCAATTAGTTTTTACAGCTGTGCGTATGTGTGTGTGTGTGTGTCTGTTTTTGCAGCTATTCTGATAAAAAATCTGTGTTAAAACCTAATACACGTACATAGACTTTGCGCCCGAACGGGCGTTAGGCGCATTTATTGTCAAAGCAAATGTCATAAAATAAGTTTATTTTGTAATTGAAAGTGAACCTTTGCCCAGCGAGCAGGCCACTACTCTCTTTCCCTCACTCTCCCCCACTCTCCCTCTCTGTCTCGTTCACTCGTTCGCTCTTCCTATTCAATAAGTTGCAGTTGCTTTGCCCCGCTTTCCAACTAGCTGCCCTTGACCCTGTGCTGCTGCTGCTGTTGCATGAAGCGTAAACTGAAAAGCCAGCAAACATTAAGCGACACAGAAAAAAAAAAAGAAAAACAATAACAAAATAAACAACAACAAATTTAATAATAAACAAAGCTAACTGAGTGACCACAGTGGCACAAATGCGTTCAGCGCATATTGCATAGGTAAACAAATTGTTCGAATACCAGTTTTGATTTGTTTTCCTGTCTATTTATTTAGGTTATTTGCGTATTCAAAATGTTTTGAGCAAATCATTCATTTAATAGCAATTTAAATATACATATGTATATGAATACATACAGCGCATTCTTTGTTTTCATATTGATTTCGCTTTCGGAAATGCATTAGTGACCCACTGTGCGCGCAGGCAAGGCCAGTTTGCCTGCTGTTGTTGTTGCTGCTGTAACAGTTGTGGAGTTTCATGTGCTGGCGCTTAATTGTGTGTGTGTGTGTCAGTGTGTGGTGTATGTATGTATGTGTGTCAACGATCGCCAGAGAGCACATGTACAAAATTGCTCTTTGCACTCGCTTTGCAAACCAAAGCGTTTCACTCTCATACTCTCATACTCTCGCTCTCGCTCTCGCTCTCTCTCTCTCCGTAAGGCTGAGCGGTGAACTCAAACACTTGTTTGTGTGTTTGTATATTTGTATGCGCAGCCTGAGCGATTTTAGACGCGCGCGTTTTGCTGTGTCTTTGCCTCCAAACGGTTGACCTTGCGCTTGGCTAGCTGCCAGCTTTACTCTATTCAAATGATGCAACAACAACAACAACTACAGCACTATAACAATAAATTAAATGATTTCGCCTCTGTCAAAATGGTAAACACGAGCTAAAATTACAAAACTCTAGAAAGCACGAGAAAGATATTAAACATATATATATGTATATATATATTTACATATATATAAACAATGTAATCGCTACCTGTGCAGCCCTTAAAGAGCATTTAACTTGTTGCGCAAATTAAGCTTAATTGACAGATGCGAAAACGAAATAAAACAAAAATAGAAAGCTTAACTAACAGCACCCAAAAGCAATTACGGTTATTGTTTTGCTTGCCGTTGTTGTTACGTTTGCGCAAACAAAGTAAACATATAAATATAAACAAAGTAGAATCAAACGGGCGACTCTTTGCGCGTGTTCAAAAGAAATCAAAGAGAAAAGTAACGTAAGAACGTTGCAGTCGGGCGCTACTGACTGCATGATACTTTGTTGTTATGATGGGAAGTCAAGGTAGAACAGAATTAACTAATATTGTTATTATCGAAAACTGTTATTAGAAATGTATTAAATCTTTTTTAATGCATTTTCAGACGGACATTGCAGAAAACCAATATACCTGTTTTCTCTTTGGAAACAAAGTATAAAAACTGTTAGCCAAAGATAAATACAAGCAACTATTTTTAGTTATTTGTGCTTGTCTAGCATGTATGTTCGTATGTTCGTATGTTTGTGTGTATCGATGTACATATGTTTTGTCTCTGAGAACATGTCGCCTTTCAGCCCCATTTCCGGTGTTATATAACACACCTGCGGGTGGAATTAACGAATCAATTTTTGTTTGTTTCTGTTTTTTATTTCTTGTTTTTGCCATTCATCAAGTACAAGCACAAGTCAGAGCCCCGATTATTATTTGACCAACTCAGTAGCCCCCATTATCAGTGCCGCAATTTCAAGTACGTTTTTTTTCGCATTCTTTAAGACGGCGCTCCCTCGTTTATCGCTTATCAGCGCGATTTTTATTATATATATACTAAATTTTATATGTAAGCGTGTCTATGGGGCATATGTATTAGTTATACTCGTCTGGCAAGTGTAAAGAGTATATTTGTTCTTGGGAAATTTGAAATTGGGAATAAAATAAATGGTTTTCAGATATACCCGAGATATCGTATGGGGGCGTGGCTAAGCAAAATATACTATATCTGATATAAGATTAAGATTGCAATTTGGAATAGTTATAATATAGATAATTGAAGAATAGAATGGAATAAGAAATCTTCAACTTCTTAAGGAAGATCTATTACTTCTCAAAAAGATCAGATTAACGAGATCTACGATCTTGCCATAGAAGTGCTACCAAGATTCTCTATAAAGCTTACGCTCAATAGGGGCGTGGTAAATATATAAATGTATATATATATAATGGGCGTAACGAATCTAAAAATAATATTTTTTATTTAATATTTTATCTATATTAAATTCACGTTCAAAATTTTGATGGTTGAATTTCCACGAATACCATTTGGGGCTTATCGGAAATTAGTTGTTTTTCCGCCATGCACAAGTATCACGCAGTTGGTAACGTCCGTTCGCAAGAGTCTTACGTGTTATTTATTGGATGTTTAAAAATAAAAACATGAATTATGCAAGCCATAGATAAAAAATTAAAAACAAACAACGAAATCTAATAAGAATGTACCCAGGAGGTAATACCCATATCTATACAAACATATACATGCATATGGGTATATACCCTATATACGCACACATGGAGTGAGTCGGTTCTCGTGTTCCTTTGCAACTGTCAATTATGTCTAAATTGAACTTTGACGTGGGCTAAATTGAAATTGCCGTGTGCCGTGTGCCGTACGCCGTACACCGTACACCGTACACCGTCCGCCGTGTGCCGTGTCTATAATTGATATCGCTCGCCGGCTTGCCCGGCTTTGACCAACCTCCCCTGGGCCGGTGCTCCCCCTACCGTATAATAATAAATATTATATATTTATGCAAATTGCATATTGAGCCATTCGCCGGCAGCTTAAAGATTGGAATACCGTTAAGAAAAATTTAAGATGAAGTATTAATGGCACTACGAATGGGTTAATCTAATGGGTTATACTAAGCGTCTATATCTTTAACATGTTTAAATGAATGCGGATTAGCCTGGGTAGTTTGTGTATTTAACTTAATCAATCTATGGGTATCAATCAAATATATCGATTTCGATTTCGATATCGATATCGTTTGTTTCTGCTGTTGTTTTATTACTCACCCTGAAATTACTTATTGAATTTCAGATATAAAGGACCGGTTGAAGGCGAGGAGAAGGAGAAATTGGACAACCTATTAAAGATGTCGCTAAAGCGCAAGGCGCAACTACATGAAATAGAGCAATCACTGCCGGCACGATCCGGTCGCTATCTACAGGTGAGTTGGTCACACTTACCGATTGTAGTTCCACACTAGAGTTGACATGCCTCTACCCTCCCCTTGCCCCCATGCCATCCCTCAGATAATACTAGGCGATGTGAATGTCTCGATTCTGAACAGAAACGACAAAGTTCGCTACAAAGATGACTATGAAAAGTTTAAGCTAATACTCAATGTAATTGGACTGATAATGGCATTTTTCAACTTGATATTCAACTACAGGTGAGTAGATACACAGATACAGATACAGAGATACAATACAGATACTCAGATACAGATAGAGATACACCGATGCAGATGCAGATACAGATAAAGATACAGATATAGATATAGATATAGATATAGATATAGATATAGATATAGATATAGATATAGATATAGATATAGATATAGATATAGATATAGATATAGATATAGATATAGATATAGATATAGATATAGATATAGATATAGATATAGATATAGATATAGATATAGATATAGATATAGATATAGATATAGATATAGATATAGATATAGATATAGATATAGATATAGATATAGATATAGATATAGATATAGATATAGATATAGATATAGATATAGATATAGATATAGATATAGATATAGATATAGATATAGATATAGATATAGATATAGATATAAGTACAGATACAGACACAGATGCAGATGCAGATACAGATAGAGATAGAGATAGAGATACAGATACATAGATACAATACAGATACTTAGATATAGATATAGATAGAGATACAGATACAGATACAGATACAGATACAGATACAGATACAGATACAGATACAGATACAGATACAGATACAGATACAGATACAGATACAGATACAGATACAGATACAGATACAGATACAGATACAGATACAGATACAGATACAGATACAGATACAGATACAGATACAGATACAGATACAGATACAGATACAGATACAGATACAGATACAGATACAGATACAGATACAGATACAGATACAAATACAGATACAGATACAGATACAGATACAGATACACCGATTGATGTAAAGCAAAAACTCTTCTCCTCACCCAAATTTGTAGAGCTCTGGAACTGGCTTTCATATTTCTGCTGGTCTGGTACTACTGCACCCTGACTATACGGGAGTCCATATTGAAGGTGAATGGATCCAGAATCAAGGGCTGGTGGCGCGCCCACCACTTCATCTCGACGGTGGCCGCCGGCGTCCTGCTGGTCTGGCCGCAGGGCGAGCACTGGCAACTCTTCCGTCTGCAGTTCATGTACTTCAATGTCTACATCAGTGAGTAAATGCAAGCGATATATAAGCATATATAGCTGTGGATATCTGGGGATGTATTAATTGGTTTCGTTTGCGTTTTGCACAGGCATCGTGCAGTATTTGCAGTTTGGCTATCAGAAGGGTCTGCTGTATCGGCTCAAGGCGCTGGGCGAACGCCACAACATGGATATCACCATTGAGGGCTTCCATTCGTGGATGTGGCGCGGCCTGAGCTTCCTTCTGCCATTCCTGTTCATTGGCTACGCCTTTCAGGCGTACAATGCCTGGACGCTCTTCAAGCTGGCCTACTATCCGCCCGACGCCCCCTGGCATGTGTCCGTCATGTGCGGGCTCTTCCTTCTGCTCTTTGTGGGCAACATCACCACCACGCTCCTGGTGGTGCCGGAAAAGATACGCGAGCGGGCTAAGGAGCGCTATCGCCTCCAGAGCATGGGCAAGTCCATGAAATTGCGCAAGGAGATGAAGGTGAGTGTGGCCGGAGGCGGGCATGGGGGTGGGTTTGGGGCTGGTATGCAAACTGGAAAGCGAGATGCATGTTAGCCTTAAGGCAGGGCGATTGCATTTCATTTGCATCAGGAGAGCAGGACCCTATACACTCTTTATCGATAAAACGATAAACGATAAATAAAAAGCATCCCATATTCTCTTTGAGTAAATGAATTTTTATGTTTCATTTGATCTTCAAAAAATTCATTTCAATTAAAGTTTTCAATCAGAAAAATATTCTTAATCGATAAACGATTAATTTACATAAAATTTGCGACAGGATAAAATCTTTATTCTAATCGCTTTATGGAAAGAACGATTATTTACAAAAAATAATCGAAACCTTAATAAATGAACATTTCATAGATTAATAGATTAATATCAATAGTTAATATGTAGACTTTTTAAAAGGACTCTTTAATACTGTGTATGAAGCGTATTCAAACTGTCTTACAAAACCAATCAACCCTCTTTAACATTATTTCGAGCAGGCATTCGCTTAACATAAACTGTAATTATTCTGTTTTCGTCTCTCCTCTATTGTACCGTTACAGAACAGCGCCAGCGACTTGGACCTTTCAACCAGCTCGCAGGCAGCGTCAGCAGCGACAACGCCGACAGCAGCACAGCCAACTACAACGACGCCGACGTCAGCTGCTGCAGCAGCTGCATCAGCAACGGCAACAGCGACGCCAACGCCAACCCCAACGGCAACGGCAACGCCAACGCCAACGCCTGCAGAGAAGAAGGCGAACTAAAGCATAGAGAGCATTTGTGAGAGGTCTAGCGCTCAGTCATATGTTTATATATAATTTTTGGACCCGAAACCCTAACCACCAAAAGCCCTCACCCAACCCCCGAAATCCTAACCCACTCCCTAAACCCCCCGCCCTAGGTTTTCTTTTGGTTTTTTAGTTTGCGCACTAATTTATTGATTTCGCTTTAAGCTGAAGTTTTTTGGCTCTCTTTATTATTCCTATTCAGCTTATTGCAATCATTGATTTTTATTTTCTGTATGTTCGTTCCGCTTTGAACGGTAACTTAAGCAAGACATTCACCTATTGTGAAGCGAAAAAGAAAACAAAAGAAAAACCAAAAAAAAAAAACATAAAAAAACAAAATCAACAAAAAAAATACTTAAGCAAAAAACAAACTCAAAATAGAGTAACATACGCTGTACACAAGCTATGTACAATTTTTTTTTTAATATTCTTTAAGATAATTTTTTTTTTTATTTATTTTTTGTTTACTCGGCTGCTTGTAATGAAAAATTGTAGGAGAAACGACGTGAAATGAAATTGTAAATTGTCCTGAGTGCATGCGAAGCGAATTGATATTGAATGAAAAGAAGCTGCACTCACAACACAACAAAAATAAACAGAGAAAGCAAATTGCAAGAAAAATATTAACATTGTGTTTCTCTCATTGTAGTCGGCTGGGGATGTGTGTGTGCTGGGCTGACTGTTTTGTGTGAGTGGAAGTGGAAGTGGGAGCGCGAGTGCGAAGGCCAGGGCGAGGGCGAATACGAATGCGAGAGCGCGGGCTGCGGACTGCGAGTGTGAATGCGAATGTGTGGGAAAGTGTTGCTCTTTTTGTATGCGCTCGCCTCTGTTCATGTGGGTGTGTGCATGGAACAGTAATTAAATCGATGACACTGACCACAATTTATTGAATTGCGTGTTAAGCAGCGGCATTTAAAGTTGCTCATTATGGTTTTGGCCATGGGCAAAATGTCTGCAAATGTGAATATGCAAAAATGTTGATTGCTGCCTGGTTTAGTGGTTTATTTGATTGCGGCTAACGTGCCATCTACATGTACATACATAAATACAGTAAAATGCGCGCCTTTAAATCTTTATTCTCTTTTATTTCTACAGTAATACAATTTGTAAAGTATTTTAATAATATCAAGTGTATTTTTCAAGTGTAAGCTGACCCTTTCAGCACGTACTGCTGTAATCCAATTTTTAAATATAATAACTAGTGCATTTCTTCAAGTGTAAGCAGATCCTTTCGTCATTTACTTCATCTCCTTCAAACGCATACAAATATTGTATGTCAGTGAAGACAATTTAATCAGCTGCTCTCCTCTTTATGCTTAGCTCGCAACAATTTTGCAATAGCTTGACAAATAATACCCGTCTCCCTCACTCACTCACAAACACTGCTTGTATACGTGTATGTGTATTATACATTGTATGTAAATGTATACTGAAGACCATTTTGTCAGCAGTTCTCTGCTCTCCTTATGCTCGCTGCTGTGCTTGTTGTTGTTGCTTATATTGCTTAGCATGCTCAAATGCTGTATGCATTTACCGTTAGTCAACAGCTCTCTTTAGCTTAGCTCACTCCATAATTGTGCCTGCCTGTACTTGTCTCGCTCACACTTGTACATATTTCGAGTTCCTTTTACTTCATTTGGTGAGCTTAGTCCGTCTCGATCGCGCTGCATGAAGAAGAGAAAAGAGAAATGTTTTTCTTTTATTTTACTTATTATAATAAAGTAAATACTAATTGCAGCATTTTGTTGATTTTGCTAATTTGTTTCAAATTTAAAATGTCAGCGCCGACCTCGAACTCGACCTCGACTTTACTTTTTATTATTATATGTATTTTACTTGTGGTTTTTTTCTTCTCTTTTTTTTTTTGCAGCTTATCTCTTGTGCGGACTGCGAATTGAGTGAGCTTCGGTGTCGGGGCGACCGGGCGTATGCTTAGGCGGCGCATGCAGTGACTTGGACAAGTGAGTGGGTGAGTGAGTGAGTGAGCGAATGGGTGGGCTGGGTTGAGGGGGCGGTCTGGTCTGGCCGGGCGACTCTTGTTTTACTGATGGCCATTAATGCGGCTGTCGTCTGCCCGTTTGCAACAAAAGCCCTGCAATGCGGCAAAAGCGGCGGTTTTTGTGCACCACGTTGGGCGCCATTTGCCCGCGCCCGCCTCCATTGATGTGGGTTCCTCCTGAATAGGTGGGCGAGAGGGGATGTGTGGATGGTGGTGGGCTGGTAACCGCAACCGCAGCGCAGGCGGTCATTGAGGCTACATCCTGTGCCGTTCACTTGTCGCGCACTCCAGCCGCCCATCCACCGCCCCACCGTCCCATCGTCCCATCGTCCACATCCATGTCCTGGCCATTTGCTTGTCGCGCTGCCGCAGCCTAATTTGGCGAGAGTTCATTAATTGCGTAAACGGCGCACGCTTTTAATTATGTCGAACGTCGGCCCTGACGCGCCATTGCTCCCGGCGACCGGCCGAGGGGTGGGGGGTGAAGGGGGGCAGCGTGAGGCGGAATGCTTGCTGGATGGCGGCGATTCTGGTCACAGACCGGGCGTATTTTGTGCATTTGTGGCATTGTTTGCATTGTTGTGCAGTAGCAGCGGCAGCGGCAGAGGCAGAGGCAGCGGCAGCGGCAGCAGCCAGTTGCTCACTGCCGCATTTTGGTTGCCTGTTTTTCTGCGCCACCAACGGAATTTACGACTTTTGGTTGTTGCAGCCGCAGCGCCCATCAACGTAAGCACAGAGCAAAGAATGTGAGAGTGAGAGAGACAGAGACAGAGAGAGAGAGAGTGTCTGTGCGTGTGTGTGTGTGTGTGTTAAGTGGGCGGCTTTTGGCCGAGCCGTGCGATTATCATTTATTGCAACCGCATACGGGAAACGTCACTGGCATTGTGAAGCGCGTAATTCGTTAATTTGATAAGCATACGCCATGTTGAACAGGCGATTGAAAAGCCCATTGGCTATTGCCGCTGGCAACGGGAATTGGCATTAAGGCAACAGCTAACAGCAAATTAATGCCAATGGCTTTGTTTTCAGCCAGTTCCAGTGCGCGCGGGCCGATCGACAAGTTCCGGCAACTAACCAATGCCAGAGCCCCTCACAGCTCGAGGGCATTTCGAGAGATTGCCCCGACCTGGGGAAGGCAGATACTAAATTGTAGATTGCAGACTAATTATACATTGATTATACATATTTGTTTGGTATGTCTATTTCGATATCAAAGTTCGAGTCGATATATCTACATTCGGATTTAGCTTGATTTATCTTTTATTTTCTCTTTCTTTAGTTGTTTTCTCTTTTTTTTTTTTTTTTTTTTTTGTATCCGTCTATCTGTCTTCCATACTCTCTCTCTCTCTTTCTCCCTCGTTATATATGTTTTTCTCTCAATCTCTCGCTCTTTCTCTCTCTCTCTCTCTCTCTCTCTCTCTCTCTCTCTGTCTATCTACCTCCATCTCTCTTTGTCTTTTTCCTCTACGTCTTTCTCTCTCTCTCTCTATCTCTCTGCATGTAGCAGTATATTTTTCTCTCTCAGCCTCTACCTCTTTCTTTCTTAATCCGCCTCTATCTCTCCGCCTCTATCTCTCCGCCTCTATCTCTCCCTCTCTCTCTCTCTCTCACTCTCTCTCTCTCTCTCTCTCTCTCTCTCTCTCTCTCTCTCTCTCTCTCTCTCTCTCTCTCTTTCTCACTCTCTCTCTCTCTCATTGTAACCGCGCCTTACATTCCGATCTTTTCCCCTTTACACATGTATAAAATCTTTATCTAATATATCCATTATTATCTTATTATTTATTAGATTATTTTCTCAGGCACCTCTCGTGCTCACTATTTTAAGCTGTTTGTTGTTGCTGTTGTTGTTCAATAATTCAAATTTAATTTATTCATGCGCGAAAAATAGCACTTAATCAGCTTTTGATTTATTTAATACCCTGTAAAATGCAATATTCAAATATTGTCTGTGTAGCTGCTTGCATCATTAGGTTGTTTGGCTTCGAACTTAATAATTGATTCCTGATGAATGTTCATATAGTTAAAGTATCGATAATATGTATGTATCGATAAATATAGAAGTTGATATATATATATAAAAATGGATGAAAATAGAATGAGTCTGTCAATGCTCTTATTCTGCGTCTTTGACTCTCTGCCTCTCTCTTCATCTTCCCCACTGCATTTACGTCTCTCTCACTCTCTTTTTCTCCTTCTCCTTTGCCTACGTTTTACTCTCTCTCTCTCCAGGTCTTTCTCCCTCCCTGCTCAATTTCTATTTAATTCTCAGCCTTTGTTTGCTCTCTCTATCTTCTCGATTTTCTTCTCCTTCTCTTTCTTTGATCATCTCCCTCTATGTTGTTCTCCCTTTCCCACTCTCTATCTCTGCTCTTCTTCTATCTATCGCCACCTAGCCCAAAGCAAACAACTTTCCTTGTGGCCCAATATAGCCCCGTTCACACAAATTACAGGGTATAAACATGTGCTGCACAACTCAACTCAAACAAGCTGGTCAAAAATTATGAATAATTGAGTGGAATTAAACAAATCGTTGTGCACGACAGCAGACGGAGGCGCACAATGAGCTGCATAAAAATGGAAAACTCGTTGTAATCGAATTTCAGCGGCCAAATGGAGCAACAATTAAAACTGATAACAAATGAATGCAAACATAGAATTGACCATCTGACGAAAAAAAGGGCCCAAAACAGCATTGAAAGTTTATAATGAAAATGAATTTAGGGTCAGTTGTTGTTGTTGCTGTTGTTGGTTGAATGCAATGCGAAGGAGGAGGAGAAGGAGATGGAGGAGCAGCAGCAGAAAGTGAAGCAGCAGACGGAGGCCAAAAAAGTCATCAAAGAAATTCAATTTGATAAAGAATCAATGGCCAAAGAATGAGTTTTCTGCACCCCGACCCCGACCCCACCGACCCCGCGCCCACAGCCCAACAAAAACTTTTGCCCGACAAAATATAACAAAAATGAAAAGAAGCCAAAAGAGAGAGAGAGAAAGAGAGAGGAGAGTGAAGGGGAGAGACGAGAAGAAAAAAAAAAAACGATGGCAAATTAAATCGAGCAATCAAATGATCATAATAGGTTAATCAAGAACAGGAGCTGGGCATCCTCAGGGCCTTCGGGCTCTGCTCTGCTCTGCTCTGCTCTCTGGTTGGCTGCTTTGGTAATTTGTCTGCTGCTCGTGCTGTACAATAGACAAATTGAAATCGCAAAATAGAAAAATGGCAGTCACACATACACACACACACACACACAAAGGCATTGCAGGTTGACATACAAGCAAATAAATAAGTGCACTCAAGTATGTAATATGGCCAACAGGCAGCGCACCCTGGTCAGACATACATAGATAGACATTGTCTGGCTGGCGGTAAATGCTCTAGTTTCCACTTCCGCATCCACATCCGCATCCGCATCCGCTTGCCCCAACCCACGGCTGCCCCAACCCAGCAGCAGCGACAATCGTGCGGCAAATGTAGTGGAAAATCGGCAACATCGTCACAGTTAGCCCACAAAATTGTTAGTTTCGCTACTGTCTCGACTTTGGCTACAATAATCAGTTGCCAAAAAGTTGCCTCAACAGCCAGAGCCCGAGTCGGAGCCACAGCAGCAGCAGTAGCAGCAGCAGGAA